GACTCTACTATACCATTCTAAAAAAATAGAGTTGTTGTTTCAGACATAACAAACGTGCCAACGATTTGATCATGTATAGTGATCTCTAACTTTTTCCAAATATCCATCGTGGTTTTATCCCTTGCAACTTCCATCGAAATTTTATCTCCAAATACAAGATAATGGCACATTTTTTATTATCTTTCATTTGCGTTTTTCTCCAATTGAATTAGAGGACATCTTTGGCTCACCCTTTAAAGCATCCTCATTTTTTCAAATCAAGATTGCTTTTGTATTTACTTTTCATAAACCAAGATCGTTGTGTCCGGAAAAAAATCGATTTCTTGTTTAGTATTAATGGTGTACGCTTGAAAGATTTGTTTCGTTCATAAAGACAACATTGTTTGTTGAGTGGATTCTAAATCAAATGCTCTAAAAAAAAATTAGATAGATAACAATGACAACCAAACTAAACTCTCCATCCAACAAAGAGTTCAATCAAAGAATGATTCTAAAACCTATATATATAAAAAATTATTTAAAAAAATATAAATCAAACCAAAGGCAAAAATAAACAAAATAGAGAAATACATTGTTGTTTGTTGATGCACTTCGCTCCCAAAAGATAGCATACATCTGCCTGAAAGAGAAGCTTTATGATTGATTTTCTATGAATCTTTACCAGACATACAAAAAGATGAAAAGAAATTAATCACAATTCCTTAAAATAAGCAACCCCACATTTAGGAATCATGGTAAGGTTAGTTTGATTCTCATCACCAATCAACTAAGAATTTTGGAAGCAAATCAGCACAAATAGATTCACCATTCCCTTTAGCCTCCTCCAAGTTTACTTCACTACAAATAGATTTCATTTCAGGATCAAATTCATATCATTCTGCTCTTCTGGTACCAACCTACAAGTTATTGATTACTGTCTTGCACTACGAAGCAACACAATCCTGGTATTAAATCAGGACCATTAAATCATTGAGAAAAAGACAAATCAGTTAATCAACACTACTATTCCTTACAAACAAAACAACTATAATAGGTAACCTTTTTATTAATGCATATTATTATTATGTTATATGTCACTAATATAGTAACACAAGTAGAAAAATACTAATAAAATATTTTTACAAGGTGAGAAGGAAAGCAATGATTTCAACCACGTAACTGTGATGCATATTGCAGAATGCCAAACAAGCATGAATTATCATCCACATGTCAAATGAAGATAGGTTATCTCACACTAGCCTCAAATGAGACATCACTTGACAGTTATAAATACCGAGAAAGTAGTGAATGTTTTGTGTGGTAAAGAGGTTGTTGTTGGAGATAAGATTGTAGTGAGTGAGTGATTGAGTGAGTGAAACTATGGCTTCTGCTTCAGCATCTATTTTCAAATCATCATCACTTGTTCTTGATAAGTCTGAATGGGTCAAGGGACAAACTCGCCTCCGTCAACCTTCTTCTATGTCTGTTGCCAGAAGCAACCCTGCTAATTCATCAAGTTTTACCATCAGAGCTGGTTCCTATGCGGATGAACTCGTCAAAACCGCGGTATGATTACTAAAACCTTCAAAAAGTTGTATTTGCTTCTTAAAGTTAGGAAGAGTTATTGCTTGATTTTACCATTGATACATGTGGCTATTGTAATAATTTCTTGTGTCTTGTTTTTTTATTCTCTGGTTGTGTGTGGATGTAGAAAACAATTGCTTCACCAGGGCGTGGTATTTTGGCCATGGATGAATCCAATGCTACATGTGGAAAGCGGTTGGATTCAATTGGACTAGAGAACACCGAAGCTAACCGCCAAGCATGGCGTACACTTCTGGTGACAGTTCCAACACTTGGAGAGTACATCTCTGGTGCCATTCTCTTTGAGGAGACTCTCTACCAATCCACAGTTGACGGAAGGAAGATCGTCGATGTGCTTATCGAGCAAAACATTGTTCCCGGTATTAAAGTTGACAAGGTAAGGCTGTACTGCATAATTGATGAAAAGAATAAGCAGACATGATGTTTAACATATGGTTTATGTGCCATGAATAATAGGGTCTAGTTCCCTTAGCTGGTTCCAACAATGAATCATGGTGCCAAGGTCTAGACGGTCTTGCCTCTCGTTCGGCCGCGTACTACCAACAAGGTGCCCGTTTCGCCAAATGGTAAGTGTATGCATGCAAAATCAGAATTTCTTGCACATGTTTATTTGGTACTAATTGTCATGCTCGTTTTATTCCCCATACGAATTTTAATCGTATATTAGGCGTACGGTTGTGAGCATCCCCAACGGTCCTTCTGCTCTTGCTGTCAAGGAAGCGGCTTGGGGTTTGGCTCGCTATGCTGCAATTAGTCAGGTGAGAAACCACTCAAATTACTTGTTATGTCTTGGCAACTGCAGTTACTTGTTATGTACGGATTGTATTTGACTAGAATTCTCAGTAACATTAATCACTACATGAATTTATACATTTTTTAGGACAATGGATTGGTCCCAATTGTGGAGCCAGAGATCTTGCTTGATGGAGAACATGGAATTGACAGAACTTTTGAAGTAGCACAAAAGGTTTGGGCTGAAGTTTTCTACTACCTTGCTGAGAACAATGTCCAATTTGAGGGTATTCTCCTCAAGCCTAGCATGGTTACTCCAGGAGCTGAGTCTAAGGACAAAGCCTCTCCTACAAAAGTCGCCGAGTACACCCTCAATCTCCTTCACAGGAGGATTCCCCCTTCTGTCCCTGGTATCATGGTATGTGACACTAATCAAATACATTATTCTTTGTATTCCAAACTTTTATCTTTGTTCATGCGCAACGAAGCACTGATACATACACTAAACACGACACTGTTATGTAGTTTTTGTCTGGTGGACAATCTGAGGTTGAAGCAACCCTCAACTTGAATGCCATGAACAAATCTCCAAACCCATGGCACGTGTCGTTCTCATACGCAAGAGCTCTCCAAAATACCGCATTGAAGACATGGGGAGGCCGCCCAGAGAACGTGAAGGCGGCACAAGAGGCGCTCCTTTTCCGCGCCAAGTCCAACTCACTTGCTCAACTTGGAAAGTACGTTGGTGATGGTGAATCTGAGGAAGCAAAGAAGGAACTGTTTGTCAAAGGCTACTCTTATTAAAATGTTGGTAATGAATATGATGATGATACATGTTATGTTAGCAGCAGCACTAGCAGTTAATGATGGTGTTGACGGAGAATGAATATTATTATGTAAGAAGATTGAATTGTCAAAAATGTGTAATATTTTATAGTCTTGGAGACTATTTTTTATTTTTTGTTTGTGGTTTATATTACATGCATCTTTACAACTTCAATAAAATCTTTTGCTATGAGTTTGTACTTATGTTTCATAATGCTCTTGAAAGTGCTCCATTCCATTGATTAATCTAGACATAAAACAAAACAAATAAATAGTGAGTGGCCTCATCAAGAACATGGTACCCTCCATCCAAGGAGGTTCTCAAGTTCAATCTAGTACTAAATTTAACCTCCTCCTCACCTTCAATATGAATCACACAGCTTCCTAAATTTCATGCTTGTTGGAATTCCCTTGTCCCTGCTCAATGCTCAAAAGCAGTGACTCATCAAAAGGTTCTGCTGCAACAAACCTCAAACATTCCATGAAGGGTTTGGATCAAGATCTCGATCTTACAAATTTTATGATTTTGCGATCTCACTCAACTCCAACGATCCCGATCTTAAGTAGAATCGTGTGTTGTAGTCAACTTGTGAAAAAAACATTATAAAACCATTATGTGGGATCTTGACGTGTTCCGACCACAATCATCTGTTTTCTAACCACCATCATTACAAGTTCAAAAGGATGACAAGATGTTGAGGCACAACAATTATGGTTCGGGCCATTTTTTATGAAATACACTTGCCTACTAAATATCATGTAAAAAACTTTAAATATATAAAAGTATTTTCATTTTAGTAATATCTTACGATTTTTGTTTTACAATCTTATATTGTAGGATATTGCTACCTTTCAGGATCTGGGTAGAATCTTTTAATCTTAATAACTATCTTACTTTTATGGTCTTACTATCACATGCCAATCTTATGCAAGATCCCGATCTTGACAACCTTCGTTTGAACTAATCCTCACTGGGCGGATTGTTGCCAGTTTTGATTTTGAGCAACAAATCTCATGCTCAAATCAAATTAACTCTAAGATACCAGAGTCTAGGAGAAATACACACTTTCAAACTAGTAAAAGCGATATTTTTCATACTAGTAGTTGTTGCATCTAAATGCCAAGCATCAAGAAAACCTTCATCGCCTTAAGTTCCCATCCAAACAGACACCATTAACTCTTCTTGATCAAGTTTCATCCTATTTTGATCCTCAAGCTTATACCATTGTGGTGCTAAAGGATTACCGAGGGTAACCCTCGTAGGAATATCAACAATTATGAATGTTGCACGACCAAAGAACACGTTGGAGCGATCAACATCAACAACAACATCGTTCCTTCACAACAATCTCTAAAACTTGCTCTTGAATTTTCTCTTCGGAAAAAGAAAAAAAATTTGGTTCATTCAGGTTTTGAATTTTCTCAAAGATCCTTGGTGTCCCTATTAAACTTCCAAACCTTACTTCCATTATTCCGTAAAGTACACTAATGACAATTCTATTAGTCGAGACTATTATCTATCACCTTTCAGTAGTCCCTAAGTAGTTTATTTATCAGTCAACACCATCCTAATAGAATAGGTGATTCTTATCACAATAGAGTTTTCAAAGTTCTATTCCTTGGCATATGATAAAAATCATTCAAAAGCTAGGAAGTAAAGTTTTGTCCTCTAACATTAAAGTGAAATAGTAAATTTGCCAAAAAAAACACTCCAATCTGTCCAAGAATGATCAAAACACCAAGGAATGTGATGCAATATGAGAGAATCAAGCTCAAAAGATTAGAATTGGTAGCCATGTGAGAATGGAAGCTATGTACTTTAGCACTCAAGTAATAGATACATGACATCACCTATTGGATAATAGCATGTATCACAATCCTCTCAAATTCACAAATATCTGAGACATTCTTCTATAAATAGGGCTCAATTTGATGATTCAAAACACACCAAAATATTGCAATAAGTTTGTTTTCTAAGAAATCCTCTTCTTTCCAAATTTCAAAATTCCAAAGAAGTGAAAACTTGGAATTTTAGCTCCAAGCAATCTCCAACCAAACCAGGTATCCAAACACTTCATATACATCATATAGAAGTGATTCAAACTCCCATACAAATTCTGTAACAGCAGAATCATCAATTTCATATCTCACTTGCTTCAAAGCTGCAGATTGATTTGGCTAGGAAGTTCCAGAAGGTTTCAAGTCAATTAAAGCACATCAACACACTCCTCGGAGGTCAAGGAAGATGTTAGCATCAAGATATTGTATATGTAACACCTCTATCAAGGAATTCAATTCTTCACTTGCAAGGTAAGTTTTTCAAAACCTGAACTCTATAATCCATGCAACATATGTGATTAGTTGAGTTACCGACTTGTTTATGGAAATATAAGGATCATTTTTCCTCAATCAATTTCATGATATCTTGAACATATGTGATTTCATTTTGAACTTTCAAATTAGGGTTCATACAGTTATGTGATTAATTCCTTTTGATACACTGAATATAAATGAAATTCAATGATGCCATTCTATTCTTTGTGAAATTTCCAACAAATTTGATCTTTACATCTTTTAATTTCATGGAGAAATGAAGGTTTTTGAAATTAAAAATTGGAAGATGATGATGGAGCTCGAGGAAGAAGAAGACAATGGTGGTGGTGCCATTTTTCAAAATAAAATAAAGTTTTATTATATTAGTATTCTTTTGCAATTTAATTCACGGATGTATCACCAACATGCGTTTATGTGTGTCCAAGGTCTAGGGTTCGAATCCCTCTTGCCCCAGATCTTTTGCTTATATTTTTTTAACATTTTTCAAACACAAAAACTTCATATATTATTTACACTGCGCACCCTTTGTTCAACCCATAGCGCGTGACCCAACTGGTAAAGTTTTAAACCCATGACCTGTAGGGGGTGAGTTCAACCCTTGCTGGGAGCATTCCTCTCTTTTTACCACTATTTTTCATGTTTTTCTTCATAACTTCATCAAGTTATTTCACCAAGCAAAGTTGATCTTTTTGAGCCAATTTTTTTCAAACTTCTTATCTATCTTCCCTATTTTACTAATCCACACAAAATCCCAAAAAATAATATTTATTTTGGTCACTTTTATTAAGTGGAAAATTAGGTCATTTTAAAGTGTTTTATACCTTTTAAATGACTTTATTTTGATTGTTTCCTTAACCTAATTGATTATAAATATTTGTTTAAACCTTGATTGATGTTCATAACATGTTGCCTTAAATTGTTTGTCTTTCATACCATGTTTAAAATTATTTTCCTTCGAAAAATACTTTGATTAAATGTTTAATTAGGTGAAACCTTATGGTTTTATCTTGATCAATCTTTTCAAAACATCTTGACTAGGGCTTCCATTTGAGTTTGGATTCCCCAAAGCCTTTGATTCAACCATGATTGAATGTCTTGTTCATAGGTTCTCCCTCATAAATTTCCATTAGGGTTTTGTTTACCCTTTACTATATTCATCTGATCTTTGATTCATCTTGAATATATGGCTTGCTTGAACTTCTTTGTGGTTGCTTTAATTGATTAAATCTTTGCTCACATATTCAAGTATTTCCTTTATAAACTCTCACCATGATGAACATATCTACTTGTATGATTACCATACACCATATTCCTCCACTCTACCGGCTGCCCACAATCATGTAATTTTGCATACAGTTTACTCATTCTAAATTCTCCCCCCACCTTGAATTCTTCCTGACTGCTCATGTTTTGAAAATCCTCCCTAAGATTGAGTATACTTTTCATTATCTAGGAATCACTCTGTTTACACTGTATCTCCATCAGATCTTTGTTTTTGAGATAGTACGTTTGTACCCATTTAACCCAAAGCGAATCTTACTTCCCACTTAAATTCTAAAGCAGCTTCAGTATAGTTGTTTTATTCCAAACTTCAATGTCAACGACGTTTAAACCGCCATGGCTACGAGGGCTACAAATCTGTTTCCAAGCTACTGGAGCTTTACGGCTCCCTTCA